TGATTGAGTCATACTCAATAAATTTTGCATTTCTTAATTCCGCAATTCTAGTGCTATGTAATGGACAATAGAATTTGTATCCTTTGGAACTTTCGGCATATCCAATGAAATACCAACTAATGGTCCTCGGATCTAGTTTATTTTCTTGTGGGTTATAAATTCTCACTTCAGACGGGCATCCCTATACGCGTATAAGTCGTAAACTATGTTTCCAACCTTTAAACAACTCAAAAGGTGTCTTTGAGACAACCTTGGTTGGAACTCGGTTTAATATACACAATTGTTTTGAGAGCTTCAACTCATAAAGACTTAGGTAGCTTAGAGCTACTAAGCATACTTCGCACCATATCCATTAAAGTTTGGTTTCTTCTTTCTACAATACCATTTTGATCAGGTGATCCTGGCATGGTGTATTGGGCAACTATACCACTATCTTTAAGAAACTTTGCAAATTAACTAGGTGCTTATCTATCTTCGATATATCTGCCATAATACTCACCACCTCTATCAGTTTTCACGATCTTAATTTACTTACCACATTGTTTCTTTGCTTCAACCTTGAAAACCTTAAAGGCTTCAATGTTCGCTCTTATGATGAAGCATGTAGAGATACATGTAGCGAGTAATCATCAATAAAAGTGATGAAGTATTTATGACCTTGTACATCCATATATGGACAACAAATATCAGAATGGATGATTTCCAATATAGCTAAACTCCTCTTAACACCTTTCTTTGACTTGTTAGTATGCTTACCCTTGATGCAATCTATACAAGTGTCAAAATCAGAAAAATCTAAGGTACTAAGTACTCCATCATTTACTAATCTCTTTATCCTTTCAATGGTGATGTGTCCTAATCTCCGGTGCCATAAAATATAGGAATCTCCATTTATAACACAACATTTAGAACCAGTTTGAGTGTGCATGACATTATGAGTGACATTATTTTGTAAATTTAAAGAGTAAAGACCATCAAATAAAATTCTATTTCCAACAATTTATGATTTATAAAACAAACAAAATTCATTGTTTGAAAATTTAAAACAATACCCCAATGGTGCATCTCTTGAAACATAAATTAAATTTCTAGAAAAATTTGGAATATAAAAAGTCTTTTCTAAAATTAAAACAAAGCCAGTAATAAGCACTAATTCGTAGGACCCAATAGTTTCCACATGCGATTGCATCTTATTTGTAGAACTAGAATCAATCTATTGGTCCCCACTGGTTTATTAATCCATGTAAGGAATTCGAGACATGGATTGTAGAACTAGAATCAATCCACTATGTGTTATAATTAACATCAATCATATTTGGTTAAAAGCAAACAAGTGAGATTGATTTACCTTTTTTTCTTAAGCTAGCTCTTAAACTTTAAACAATCCTTCTTTAGGTGTCCCTTCTTTTTACAAAAGAAACACTTGGACTCTTTCTTAATGTCAGTTTGAGGTTGGATTTTAACTTTTCCCTTTGGCTTGGCTTGGATTGATTTCTTTCCATGAGTAACTGTTAGTGCACTCTCTCCCATCTCCAGTATGAGTCTACCCTTTTCTTGATCACACATGGTCAAAAGTTCATCAATAGATAATTTACCCTTATGTGTGTTATAGGAGATCTTAAATGACCCATACTGAGGTGGAAGATGTTCAATATAAAGTGCACCAAAAAGAGTCATACATTTCAACCTCTAATGCTCTATGTCGAGCTGGTAAATCTCACATCTTATTGATGTGATTACGTAAGGCTTTCATAGTAGTGAGCCTCATAGACGTGAACCTCATAATCATGGTGCTAGCCAAAGATTTTTAGACGTTTTGAACTGCTTTTCAATAGTCATTAATAGTTCTTTTACATTCTCATAATGATCAATTGAGCCACAAACAACAACAGGAACCTTACTTTTAATGAACATAATGTTGAGGCGATTAGATCGCTCCCACTTTTCATATAGAGCAATATCAACTTGAGTGCTGGTTTTAGTGATATATGGGTGAAATTTCCTTATGGCATAATTAATATCCAAACATCCCAATTGAATAAGAATACTCTCCTTCCAGATCTCACGTACATGGAGACGTGTAGCAAAATGGGAACGTGCAAGTGGGATGAACCACTTTAGCGGCCAGTTTTCCTAAGTGCTATAAGCAGTTTTGTTTACTGCTCACAATTACGTTACAATCATAAAGAAAAACTACTAGTCCGATATATAAAAACGTGTGCTTGCTCTACCTGAAACACCCAATCAGTTAATAGATACCATTTCCATAAAATTTTAAAAATTACTATTTTGAAAATAATTTAAAAATTTGTTAAATTGATATAAGAAAGTGTATTTTTATTGACATGATATGAATATAGAAGATTTAAAATATTACTGTATGATATAGTAATATTATTATTTTAAATCTAACTATTGATTTGTTAAAATAATAATAATAATCGAAATTGTAAAAATATGTAAAATAAACTTCCACTTGAAAAATCTTATCATAAATATATCAGTTGTCTTCTTATTGACCATAGCTTTAATAAGCTCAAGTTCATAGTATTAAAAACATTGTCTTTATTATGAAATTGATTCCTTTGTTATTAACTATTTTTCTTCTTTTGCTAAAAAAAAACTATTTTTCTGCACGAACGAACTTACCTCGTGGTTTAAAGAATCATTGTTGTTCTTAGAGGTTATAGGTTCGAGCACCAACGACTATAAGAGGGTGATGGAGCGTTCATTGTCAAATGATTGAGAATATTTAGAACATATACTACTACTCTATAATCATCTTAGCTTAATAAAATTTGTTTTATCACATTGGAATCATAGTCAAATTACTTGATTGTTTTTACTATGCAAATGGTTGACTCTTATATCTTTAAGTAGCTATGTTTATCTTGAAAAATCTGGTTTCCATTTCATTGTGTTATGATTAAGCATATTCTTGCAGTATCTCGATTTTGAATATATCCATTGTTTTCTTATTGACATTAGTTTTAATAAGCCAAAGTTCATAGTATTAAAAATTTGTCTTTATTATGAAATTAATGTCTTTCTTTGTTATTAACTATTTTTCTTCTTTTGTAAAAAAAAATACTTTTTTACGAGAATCAACTTACTTCAGTGGTTAAAGGAATCGTTGTTGTTCCTAAAGATCACAGGTTCAAGCACCAGCAACTGCAGTAGAGTGATGGAGCGTTCATTGTCAAATGATTGAGAATATTTAGAATACATATTACTTTGTAATCTTAGCTTAATAAAAAAACTACTTTTCTTCTCCCCTCAACTAAATGATATTAAAAAAAATAAATTATGTTTTTTTAAATAACCATAATATTTCATTAATCGAAAGTCGTAACAACGAAAGTCTTGCAAAGTACAGACTGAACAAATACAATCATGACTATCAAAAATAAAATATAACAATGATTGCTTAGAGATAGCTTGATAAACAAAACCATTAACAAGTGAAACAACGATATACATAAATTGAAACACCAACAACTTTGAGTATCAGACGTGGAGAAGAGAAACCTGAAGAAGAATCAAAATGGTCAACGGAAAAAATGATCCCCCCTTAATAGAAATCCCATCCGGCACATATATGCGATAACCAAAGAACCGTATTGTATAAACGAACAAAGGAACTGGGCATCAAGAAAGCAATCAACCATGTATGCAGGGAAAATAAAAGACCGAGAAGAAGACCAATAAAAAAACCTACACAGAGAGTCCAAAAACATAGATAGCCATTATACCCCTTACAAAAAAAAAGGCCAAGAGAAATTATTATTGTAAATACGATAAACTTGAACTAAAAATGATCTGGCGGTGGTCAGAGAAGACCACCACTGCTTCCATGAACAAAGAGAATTTGAAAATAATTTGAATAGAATAAAGGAATTGAAAATAAAATTGACCCAAATTTTAAAAAGGGTAAATTATGCGTTGAGTACCTAAATTAACAATTTTGGCCCGTTTTAATACCTAAATTTTCATTTTTTTCAAAATCATACCCAACGTTCAATTTTTAGTTTCATTTTAGTACATCACCGTTAAAAACTTGACAGAGCATTTTTTATTAGTAAATTATATCATTCATCACTTAACTATCTTCTCACTTCTATTTTGATACTAAAGTTTAAAAATTTTCAATTAACTACTCAACTTTGAAATTGATCATATTTTAATGACTCTAATTTATTTGATTAATAATTTTTGTGACATATTATTTTATTATTATTTATTAATATAAACTAAAAATAAAAATTGAAAGTTATAGTGAAATTAACAATAATTTGAAATTTAAGTAATTAAATTAAAAAAAATAAACTTTCACAACCATAATAGGAGTGAGAAGATGAATGAGTGATGAATGATTCAATTTACCCATAAAAAAGTGTATCACCTGTTAACTTTTTAACAGTAAGGTACTAAAATGAAATAAAAACTAAACGTTAAATATGATTTTAAAAAAATTAAAAATTTACGTACTAAAATAGACCAAAATTAATAGTTTAGATACTAGACGTATAATTTACCCGAGAACACAAATACCGTCGGAGAAGGGTGGTGATGATGACTTCTTATTTTTTTAATAGCATGGTTGATTATAAGATAATATTTGTTTATGATAATTTTTAGTTAATTGATAACGGAAGTAATTAAATATCTAGATACTATTTAAATTTAAAATCTTTAGAAAATAATATTTATTTTTTATTTGAGGGTGATGAAGAGGGATGAAGAGCCCCTCCCAACAATTTTTGGACTTCTCTACCCAAATTTTTAGATTAAGTATATAATAAATCCTTATTATTTTAAAATTAAGAAACTTGCTTTTCCCTATATTTTTCTATATTTGATCCTAATTTCGTACCTGTTATGAAAGTTATATATATATATATATATTAGGGAAAACCAACATTTCCATGTCAACGAGGGTTCGACGAATGCAGCAGGTGGAGGAAACAAAAACCCTCTAAATATCTTAAGCTTACTTATAAATGGCAGCACGAGCAACAACCAAACGAGCATCATCAAGATCAAAGCTGGGTTGCTTCTCTTTGGCTGCATATTCCAAGACCATAATCGACCATCTTAAATCCCTTCAAATCCCAATCTTCCCAGGCTTAACCGACCAAGAATTCTCCTCCATCGAATCAACTTTCGGCTTCACTTTCCCACCCGATCTCCGCTCCATCCTCCAACAAGGCCTCCCCGTCCACCCTTCTTTCCCCAACTGGCGGTCGTCTTCCCCTCACCAACTCAACATTCTCCTCAACCTCCCGTTATTGTCTCTGTCCAACAACGTTAGGTTCCACAACTTCTGGTCCGACTCATGGGGTCCTAAACCTTTCAACTCCGATGAAGCCCTGGGTTTGGTTAAGAAGTTACACAAAAAAGCCTCCTCTTCTTCCTGTTTACAGAAACTGTTATGTCCCTTCCACGCCGAACGTGCGTGGGAACCCTGTTTTTTACGTCGATGGGGAGCAGGTTAGAATCATGAGTACTGATATTGCCAGGTTTTTTCAACAAGAAGTACTAAGAAGAGGTGGGGGTGACCTTCTTCCTGCTTGGGCGGCTACCTCCGTACGGAGGATTGATTTTGGACGGAGGTGGCGGAGAGGGGAGGAGGGAAGTTGTGGCTCGCGGGATCTCGGGAGGATGGTGGAATCGGGGTGAGTTGGTAGTGGGGGAGAGGAATTCGAGGTTGGGGGCATGTTTGGAGGAAGGGTTTTGGAGATTGAGGGAGGGCAGGTGGACGGAGGATGAGGTGAGGGATATGATGATGATGGTCGACGACGGCCTTGATCTTAACAACGGAGGGACTCGTTTGGTGGTGAACAACGAGGACGCGGCGTGGCACGTGAGGGTCTTGTCCGTGTTATTACGTGGGGGTGGAGTAGGGAAGATGTTGTGTACTCTCTGATCTTCACGACGTTATCGACTACGATGATGACAAAACCATGAATTGAATGAAGAACTTCGTTTTCTCGTTGAGGAAGATGATCTAACGGACACCATGCACGCACTAGATTATTATCAGAGGCGCTGTTGTCCGACACATATGGAAATTATACATATTATAAATAACAATTTAATTTATTTTATAATTTTTTTAATAAATAGTCCAAATACGGTAAAAATAAAAAAATATTGTGGACAAATAAAATTATAGAAATACCCTAGTAGAAAATTATTTAAGGATTTACTACATTTATTAGTGTTTTAGAATTAGTTAGGAGGATATGACGAATTTAATAAAATATAATTTATTATTAAAATTCGTTACAAGAATACGATGAATTTTACGGATGAATCTCATAAAATATAATTTTTTTTTATTAAAAGTCATCATATTATCATGACAAATTTTAATAAAAATAATATTTTATAAAACTCGTCATATACTCGTAACAAGTTTTTTATCCATTATAATAAATGCTTTAGGTCTCTATATATTTTTTCATCAATTATATATTTTAAATTCTTTTTAATTATCAATATTATTACGCTAATTTTACCGTCCAAGTATATTTTTTTTTTGTTGAAAAAATCAATTAAGCCCATCGTCACCTTTTGTAATCATTTAAAGTGTTCCCTTTCCTTTAATTTAATAAAAAAAATCTTATGTGTCACATGATAATATCTAATTAGTTATTATTAATTAGTAAAAAAATTATTAATTAATTTACAAATAAAATGTTGACGTGACATTACATGTGTACATGCCACATCAACATTTAGTCCACGTGGATTTATCACATCATCATATATCATGAGTTGGCTAAGCCACGTCATTATCTTCGTTCACGTGTATGTGTTTGGTCAGCATCAGACGTTGACCATCATTTAACTAACGATTTCCATCCACTGAGGGTATTTTTAACCTAAAATAAAATGTCTAGTCGTCAAATGAGTCAAAAAATAATACGGATAAATTTGATAATACTATTAAATATTAAGATTATTTTATCGTATTATGCCATCCCCAAAATAGGCAAAACTCACATAATAATGTATTGGAAATAAAAAATTCACCAGATATTACTCTCGAAGAATTAATTACTGAAATGGGGTGATTGCTACAGTGATCTTGTTGGTTGCCATGTGGTCCAAATGACCTATTTAGGTCGCCATGCAGGTCGTGTGACATTCTATCAGCCTCCGAATGAAGTCTACTGCTTTGTCCAAAGCGAGCAATGCATGGGCGATGGACAAGCTGTTTTAAATTAGTTTAGCTGCAGTTATCTTTCACTTTACATTCAAAAATAATAATAAGATAAGGTATTAAAATTGTGGATAAAGTACACAAATAGTTCATTGATTATAGAGTTTTACTTTGTCGAGTCTCTCACTATTAAAAGTTACAAGATGGTCACTAATAATTATTTATTATAAATATTTAATGATTTGGATTTGATATTTAATGATTTAGTAATGATTACTATAGCAATTATTTTAATTAGCTTGTTAGTTAAATAGTTTAAGTTATATTTGTTTGTTGAAGTTATATTATAAAAAAAATTAGTTAATTAGTTTATTAGTTTAAGTTATATTATAATAAAATAATAATTTATTAGTTTAAGTTATATAAAAATTATGGCGTGTGTGCCGCACGATGTTTCTGATGGGTGTCAATATTGGTGTGTTGTTACACCATTGATTAATTTTGTTTTTGTTGAGATCCAATTTGTGGATAGAGTGTTAAGGAAATTCGGCTTCCACCAACCTATTCTGCAGAGTCCATGGGATTATGACCACCTCCATCAGATAGATGGTCGCCGTCAGGTGAATTAGGTTGAGACACATGATGACCTCCACAAATTAGATGGTCACCGTAAATAAAAGGTGAATTGGGTTGAGAAACACGCAAGCTATATTAATGCTTGGAACAATAGGGCTTCATTCTTGCCAACTCTTGATCCCATTCAAGATGACGACTTTAATTTTGAGACTTCGGCTTACCTTGATTATTATTGGGATAATGGAAAGTCGTTCTTGAAAACAAGGGTAGAAAGGCGACAATTTTTGAAATTTAAGAAAAAAATTGGTAAAGCTGAATACTCTCTACCGAGTGGGACTGAGAGTTCATCTCAACAACCTGAAGCGGAATTAACCCATATGGATAATAGCGCACAACAACCGTTTGACGATATTGGATCGTTGCATCATACATTTGATGATTTTACTATCCCCACATACGTACCAGAGTTTGTGCAGCCTCAATGTAACATCCTCAATATCGGGTTAGTGACTAAATTGTAAAACTTTAGAATTTGGTGACTAAAGCAGAATAATTAAATAATATTATAATTTGGTATAAGATTAAATTGCAAGGAAGATGGAATTGAAGGACACAATGGTCATTTAAAAGTAAATAATTAAATTTGGTTAGTATATATGGAGGCCACGTGTAGAGAGGAAGCAAATATCCAACCTTCCAGACTTCTCTTCTCTTTCTTTCTTCCTTTATACGTGAGAGCCCAACAAAGGTAAGATTTCTTGTTAGTTAAGTTCTTGCTGAAATTAAGGTTGATTTATGATCATTAGATGATAATTAAGCTTAAGGAAATCTTAATTTGTCTTAAAACAACAAGATGAAAATGTATAGGAAGGATTAAAGAAAGGAGGTGAAAAAGTGAAATCTTGATGGAAAGGTATTAATTAGATTTCAAGACTAAATTTGACTTGTCATTAGTGGAATTAAGGAATAGGAAGTGTTAGAATTGGAATTAGACCATGTTGAAAATTGAGTGTGATTCTTGAATTCCATGTAAGGGATAGAATTTTGAGGCTAAAGAAGGGATAAATGAGTATTAATAAGTTTAAGCATGTGTATGTAAGTTAAGAATATGAAAGGAGATGATATAGGAAGGATTTGAGCTGGAATGAAGTGATTTTTGTGCTGAAAATGTGATTTATGGGATAGGGGTATCGGTACCCATTGAACAGGTATCGATACCTCCATCTTTGAACGAAAATTTACAGAATGCAATTGGGGTATCGATACAAATGCTACACTGATCTTGTTGGTCACTAGGTAATAAAAAATTGGGAGGCAAAACTCACGTAATAATGTATTGGAAATAAAAAATTCACCAGATATTACTCTCGAAGAATTAATTGCTGAAATGGGGCGATTGCTACAGTGATCTTGTTGGTCGCCAGGTGGTCCAAACGACCTAATTAGGTCGCCATGCAGGCTGTGCGCCATTGTTCGTCGCCATGCAGGTCGTGCGACATTCTATCAGCCTCCGAATGAAGTCTACTGCTTAGTTCAAAGCGAGCAGTGCAGGGGCGATGGACAAGCTGTTTTAAATTAGTTTAGCTACAATTATCTTTCACTTTACATTCAAAAATAATAATAAGATAAGGTATTAAAATTGTGGATAAAGTACACAAATAGTTCATTGATTATAGAGTTTTGATTATAGAGTTTTGCTTTGTCGAGTCTCTCACTATTAAAAGTTATAAGATGATCACTTATAATTATTTAAATTTAATGATTTGGATTTGATACTAATGATTTACTAATGTACTAATAATAAATTTAAAAGATTTGATAAGGATTTGATAATAATGATGTTTTAATAATGATCACTACTAATTTTATAATAATTTTTATTTTTTTTAATACCAAACAAATTTGTTAATTAATTTTTTTATAAATTTTAAGATTATATTCGATTCAATTTTTACTCCTTAATCAAATGAAATTTTTTTACTAAAGGTTTTGAAATTTAATCGAGTAAAAAACTCAATTTAAACTAAGTAGTACCGATACTGCTAAGACAATATCGATACCATGGAAACAGAACCTCAAAATGGTATCGATACTACTAATGATTTATTATTAAAATTTAATGATTTAATAATGATTACTAATAATTATTTATCATAAATATTTAATGATTCGGATTTGATACTAATGATTTATTAATGATTACTAATAATAAATTTAAATGATTTGATAATAATTTTTTATTTTTTTAAATACCAAACAATTTTGTTAATTAAATTTTATAAATTTTAAGATTATATTCGATACAATTTTTACTCCTTACTCAAATGAAATTTTTTTACTAAACGTTTTGAAATTTAATCGAGTAAAAACTCAATTTAAACTAAGTAGTATTGATACTACTAAGGTAGTACAAATACCATGGAAACAAAACCTCAAAATAGTACCGATACTACTAATTATTTATTATTAATATTTAATGATTTGATATTTAATGATTTAGTAATGATTCCTAATAATGATTTATTATTAATATTTAATGATTTGACACTAATGATTTAGTAATGATTACTAATAATGAACTTATAATAATTACTAATCATGATTTAATAACGATTACTAATAATTATTTAATAATGATTAAATATTTAAATAGAATTTATTCAATTTAAATCGAATTTATAAATAGTCTAATTTAAATATTTAATTTTAAACAAATAACAATAGAGTTTATAATTGTTGTCGATACCGGGGTGTTGTTGAAAGCTAATGTCGGGGCGGACGTCTAATGCGTTGTGGTCGTTGCGGTTGCTCAGGAGTATGGTACCTATTATCCTCGTTTATTGGGGTATTTCAACTGGTGTTGTAAATATATTTCAACCACTATGCTCTGCCATTCCACCAGTTTGCTCTTCCATCCCACTTGGAAACGTTGACTGATAAATACTGGTATTTGACATTATATATGTTATTTGGTCAAAGTCATACGTTGATTCAAACATGATAGAGTAGATGGGTGCTTGAGTGTAATACCCCCAACCCGTTACCCGACCTGGATATGAGTTTGAGGCGTCACATTGACTTTTCAGACTTTGACTCTTACAGAAAACCAAAGAAATTTTAAACTTTCATTAAAATAACATTGTTACTTTACATAAGTTGACCAAAACAAGACAAAACCGATC